TGGAGTTATGCCCCTTTATGGACTTGCCGAAACAGTGTCCGCTCGATATCTCGAGTAATTATTAACGGATTAACTTCAAACTTCACAACAAGGTTAATTACCATGAAACCTTGGACAGGTTTGATAACCGCTATTATCCGACCGTAATTTGTGGAGTTATGCCCCTTTATGGACTTGCCGAAACAGTGTCTGCTCAATATCTCGAGTAATTATTAACGTATTAACTTCAAACTTCACAACAAGGTTAATTACCATTAAACCTTGGACAGGTTTGATAACCGCCATTATCCGACCATAATTTGTGGAGTTATGGTCCTTTATGGACTTGCCGAAACAGTGTCTGCTCAATATCTCGAGTAATTATTAACGGATTAACTTAAAACTTCACAATAAAGTTAATTACCATGAAACCTCGGACAAGTTTGATAACCGCCATTATCTGACTGTAATTTGTGGAGTTATGCCCCATTATGGACTTGCCGAAACAGTGTCCGCTCGATATCTCGGGTAATTATTAACGGATTAACTTCAAACTTCACAACAAGGTTAATTACCATGAAACCTCAGACAAGTTCTATAACCGCCATTATCCGACCGTAATTATTTGAGTTATTCCCCTTGGTCTCATTAATGCGATACATGCGTTCGATGATGTTGTATTGCACTCATTGATTTACCAGTTATGTTGAATGATTTCTCTTTTGATATCAATTACTCACAAAAACTTCATATATTTCAATCATACAAACAACTGCTCATTCAATGTGTGACGGGCGTATTATATACCGCTCACGGTAACCTTGTTCTGTCTGTCTGAATTAACACTTCTCTCTGTGTCTTCCCCTTCTTAACCTGTTCAACCCTTTACCAATGTGTTTTCCTTTCTCTTTCCCCTCATCCCCTTCTTTTTATTGTCACCTCTGTCTAACTTTTGCCTATACCTACTGTTTCTCCTCATGTTTTCACTCTCTTCCCCTGTTTATTTCTTTCTTCGTCTATTTGTTTCACCTCCTCCCTCTGTCCCCCACTTCTCCCTCTATTTGACCCATCTGTTCTCTGTTGGTATACGGCCAGATGACATTGGCGATAAGACAAATACTGACAGAAAACTGGAGCTGTGATATCTCGTTTAGGCTTTACCACAGGATTGGTGGGACTACTGTTGTTTGTGCATTGAAGATTGGTATATTGATAACAAAGTAATCACTATAAAAGTCACTTATGACAGATATGAGTAATAAATTAATGACTACTGTAAGTTCAAAGTTGACAGTTAGTGTGTTCCCCCACATCAAACACTTGACTGACTGGTCAGGTGTTGTTGGTTACCAGGTGGAGCTGTTGATGTGGGAGTACCCTGATCATGGTAATCACTGGGTTGTGAGGTGTGACTTGTTACCATGGTAGGATAGTTTCCTGTAAAACATCTTTGATGATTTCATGTGTGTATGGTACCTGTGGACTTACCATTAGTGTTGGCTGTTTATCAAAGCAGTCTCGTTGTCTCATGTACTCAGTATGTTTATATCTGATGTTATAAATCGAGGCAAATCTGTATTCAAAGAACTAATTCCCCATAAAAAATAGTGCAATATATGTCATGTTAGTATAAGTTGACCTCAACTTTCTTGACATTGATAATTTTTGTACAGGTGGCACAAAATGCCTAACAGCTTATATATGCCATGACCATGCATTTGTTCTTTGTATGATTCTATTTTTAGAGCCATCAGACCTTTAGTTATAAAATTTGGCATGTAGCTGTTTTGAGTTGAGAGCTATCGATTTTGTTCGTATAAATGACATTGAGTGTGTTAAAATTTTCCAATAAATCCTTCTTATGAACCATGCAGCCTGGGGTTGTGATATTTTGCCAGTAGCTTACTGAGGTGAAGGGTTTTCAACTTTGTTCAAACCAATGACATTGATCCACAATCAATTAATATATTTGGTCAGCTAGCTTCCAAGCCCATAACTGAAGGATTCAGGTCAGTGTGGTTCAAGGAAGTTAGAAAACAATATGACCTCCATAGTGACTGGCTGCAAGGAATTTCTTAGGTCCTTCTTTGGTCTGAAAAATTGGCCGATTTTGCTCCCATCATTGAAGCTGCAGTGGCCAAGTGGTTAAGGCGTCTGACATTCTGCTACCACAAACCCTCAACCACTGGGTCGCAGGTTTGAGACCTACATGAGCCAGTCGCCAGGTACTGGCTGTAGGTCGGTGGTTTCTCTCTGGGAACTCTGGCTTTCCTCCACCACCAAAATCTGGCACTTCCTTAAATGACCATAGCTGTTAATAGGACATAAAACACAAACAAACCAAACCAAATCCCAACATTTTAGAAAACTTTACAATTTCCAAAAAATAAAATTCTTAATTTAAAAAAAAAGAGGGAAGGCTAGAATTGGCCATCAGAGGGTTGTTCAGTTATGTTGGATGAGAACTTTATTGCCAGAAATCAGTAGTTCTGCTCTCTCTTTCTCTCTCTGATATTTTCATTATATTCATTATTACTAGAAATGTTTACGGTCATATTATGCATTGAATTAACAGTTTCAGCACCCTAGGAAAATAACTTTGTACAGAATGTAAGTTATATTCATCAAATATTACTTGATATGTATGCTTACAGGTGATGTGATACGATGGGAACAGCAGATTCGCATGCGACACCTGTTGACGAGACAGTACCTGTGTATAGACTCCAAGATGGATGTATCACTGGCCAACGACGCCAGCGACCCCCGAACAGTGTTCAGACTCCACTCAGTGCTGAAGGTAGTCAGAAACTCATTGACCATGGTTCCAGTTATATTGACCATGGTTCCAGTCACTGATGTGTACTGAAATGGATATCATATCGTATGAACCTTCTTACATTAAAACATCACTTTTTCAGGTTCATTTCACATCATTTTTACCAGCACAAAAGCCCATAACTGTTTTCTTATATGCTTCAACAATGCTTCAACAATTAAAATGTTGATGTGTGGGTGATGCTCAATTCCTCCTAGGCCCTGCCTTTTGAGTTCCATGGACATGGCTTGGAACGTTCGTTTTGAATTTGGAAATTTTGTGATATAACGGAGGCGAAGTGTTCGCCAGCAGCCTCCTTCTGTTGTCGACTGACAGATCGCATTTTGGTCTAACTGCACATGCACTACGACAGGTTGCGGTGAATTTCCATATAGGCTATAATTAGAAATTGATATTCACTGGATAAGCAGTGTACATGAGTTTTTGAGGACTGGTCAGGCATATAATAATATACAATTATGGACTTTTGTTCTGGTGAATATGATGTGATATGAACCTGAAAGAGTGATATTGACTGAGGCGAAGCCGAGGTCAATATCACTTTTTCAGGTTCATATCACATCATATTTACCAGCACAAAATCCCATAACTGTTTTATTATATGCTTCAACAATAAAATAAAACAAAACAAAACTAAAGATTCTGATTTTTGTACGCAAGCCTCCGTGTAAAATTTAGCCAGGTTTGAATACAACAGTTCATCATTGTAGCTTTCGAAGGTATCGACTAGATTCTTTTTCTTAAGATAAGCATGGAGGACATGCACTGCGTGTTCAATGGCCATTTTTTTACGTTAACAGCATCTTTATCCTCGAATAGTTTTGGTAATCATCTTCTATTGTCATCTGACAGATTGCGTTCCAGTCTAACTGCGCATGCGCTACGACAGGTTCCGGGGAATTTCCATACAGGCTATATTTAGAGATCGATATTCACCGGATAACCAGTCTACATGAGTTTTTGAGGACTGGTCACGTGTATAGGATCTGACCAATGTGATTGCGAGAAATGTTCATGCATATAATAAAAGTATATACAGGTTTTACGATTATTAGGTTCTCATGATATATGATTCCTGTATACCAGATCCTGTACTGGTACAGATACTACACTGAACACCTCAACAATCTATTTCTGTACTTCACATCATACACAATTTATCAAATTGAATACCAAGCTATATATAATAATGAAAGATAATGTTCCATTGATATCTGTTTTGGCAGCTCGTTTTACGAGTCTGTACAATAATTATTTCTACAGCATACATACCACATCTGTTTCACTGTGTATGCTCAAATAAATCTGTTCAAATGTTAAAACCATTCAATTAGCATAACTGAACTATAAAATTAATTCTTCATGTTTAACTTTCATTCCGCAGATTATCCTGTGTTTCAGACATTTTTTTTTGAATGCCAGCTACCTGGCGATGATTGGTTGTTTCGGAAACTATTTTAACACAAGATTGATGAATGAAGATTAATCAGACAACCTTAACTCCACAGGAAAGTGCACGTTTGGTGTTAGCACTGCCTGTCCTACTGCGACACTGAGATATTAGCGGGGTCATAAATACTTTCACATAAGTCTATACTAATTTTAAACTGTTGATTTTAAATCTTTCGTCTCAATGTAGTCTATTTAAAAACCACAGGATGATTGTTAGATAGCTTTAAAGGTCTGGCCTGGAAGCACCTCTAATTAAATTGTATTTCTTTTGTAACCATAACAAATCTAGTACTGATAGGTAAGATTTTAGCGCCCTTTGCATACAGATCCTTATATCTTGTTTCTGAGTTTGAGTTTAATGTAACTGTATATATATATATAGGGTGCACCAATCTATTAGTAGATGGTACCATAGATTTATGAAGGCTGTCTTGATAGCAAGTGTATCTCAATCCCTCTAACCCTCTGAACCAGAAATCAATCTTCAGGGTTAAAATAGTTCAGAATTTTGTGATGTCCGTCTTTCAAAGTATAAGGCAAAAAAAGGAACAGTTTTAACATTATGGTTAATTGAGGCAAGAAATTAAACTCTAAGTGAAGGAATTAAATTAAAATGTTGTAAAGTGATATTGTGTATGCTATAGGCTGGGTCTGTTCTGTTAGGTAGAATAACTGTGTAAAGAAAAGCTTGCCAACATTTTCCAAATGAATACACCAGCAAAAACATTAAGTGTTCACCAGTCATCACTGGGATTTGTGCGCCATAGATTTTCTTTTTATCAATGAAGCTGCAGACATTTTCCAACAGTTTAATGTCGCACAGATACATGTTATTTTAAGATTCCCACTGTCATTAGGTCCATTAGCAATTTTGGCTGGTGATGTTTTGACAAAATTCTTTGCTTCAGGTATTAAATTTGCATTAATTGCTAGTTTTTTTGAGACTGAATAAGACGAGACAGCTTGTTAAATATCCCCCAGTAAAATAAATCCTTTTCAGACTTAAGTCACAGGAGGGTTTTTAGATGTTCATCTTACTAGCATAAAGTGCTGTTTTTAACTATTTCTCTCTCTACCATACCCATATAGATTTGATTGCGTATTAAGTGAAATGTTGTACCTTCGTAAATTAGTAATCTATAAAATAATCTTATTTATGCATCTTATCAAGATATATTTTATATGTATAATACATACATAACACTTTCAGGTTTTTTTAATCAGTCATCTTTTTACAGTTTATTTACATTTCTCGGTTAAGGCTATAGATCCAGAATGACCACAGTAATAATTCTGTTGAAATTAATTAGCCTTAACATTTGAGGTCAGACTGATGACCTTTCAGGTCCTATTTTGATAACATTTAAGCTTGCATGATGAACTTTGTTCTCTTGATCTGAATGACCTTTGTGGTTGACCTCAGTGATGACCTTTGAAGTAACCTTGTGATTACTTTTGAGGTTGACCTGTGACAACCATTGTGTCCTTGATCATGATCTTACCTGTTATGGTTGGCCTTAGTGATGACCTTTGAAGTGACCTTGTGATGACCTTTATTGATATGTTACAGGAGCGGGATGAGATACAGTTTGAGAGCTATGCCAGGATAGAACACATGCTGACGGGATGCTGGCTTCACGCTCTCAAAGGTAACCACTACCTCCTTTTATTGTGTCACATCATTCATATATTGAACATTCTCTTTGTGCTGGCTTTTTTACCCACAACTATTGAAATTTAGGTATCTTTCTTTGCTGTTTGAATACAGGCACTGTTTAATTATAACATGTCCAAGCTAGTACTAGTCTAGCTTTTATTACCTTTCTATTACCCATCTATTACCCATCACAGATAGTACTAGTCTATCTTCTATTACCCATCTATTACCCATCACAGCTAGTACTAGTCTAGCTTCTATTACCCATCTATTACCCATCACAGATAGTACTAGTCTAGCTTCTATTACCCATCTATTACCCATCACAGCTAGTACTAGTCTAGCTTCTATTACCCATCTATTACCCATCACAGCTAGTACTAGTATAGTTTATATTACCCATCTATTACCCATCACAGCTAGTACTAGTCTAGCTTCTATTACCCATCTATTACCCATCACAGCTAGTACTAGTATAGCTTCTATTACCCATCTATTACCCATCACAGCTAGTACTAGTCTAGCTTCTATTACCCATCTATTACCCATCACAGCTAGTACTAGTCTAGCTTCTATTACCCATCTATTACCCATCACAGCTAGTACTAGTCTAGCTTCTATTACCCATCTATTACCCATCACAGCTAGTACTAGTCTAGCTTCTATTACCCATCTATTACCCATCACAGCTAGTACTAGTCTAGCTTCTATTACCCATCTATTACCCATCACAGCTAGTTACAGTATAGCTTCTATTACCCATCTATTACCCATCACAGATAGTACTAGTCTAGCTTCTATTACCCATCTATTACCCATCACAGCTAGTACTAGTCTAGCTTCTATTACCCATCTATTACCCATCACAGCTAGTACTAGTCTAGCTTCTATTACCCATCTATTACCCATCACAGCTAGTACTAGTCTAGCTTCTATTACCCATCTATTACCCATCACAGCTAGTACTAGTCTAGCTTCTATTACCCATCTATTACCCATCACAGCTAGTTACAGTATAGCTTCTATTACCCATCTATTACCCATCACAGCTAGTACTAGTATAGTTTATATTACCCATCTATTACCCATCACAACTAGTTATAGTATAGCTTCTATTACCCATCTATTACCCATCACAGCTAGTACTAGTCTAGCTTCTATTACCCTTCTATTATCCATCACAGCTAGTACTAGTCTAACTTCTATAACCTATCTATTGCCCATCAGAGCTAGTTATAGTATAGCTTCTATTACCCATCTATCACCCATCACAGCTAGTACTAGTCTAGCTTCTATTACCATCACAGCTAGTACTAGTCTAGCTTCTATTACCCATCTATTACCCATCACAGCTAGTACTAGTATAGTTTATATTACCCATCTATTACCCATCACAGCTAGCACTAGTATAGCTTCTATTACCCATCTATTACCCATCACAGCTAGTACTAGTCTAGCTTCTATAACCTATCTATTACCCATCACAGCTAGTACTAGTCTAGCTTCTATAACCTATCTATTGCCCATCAGAGCTAGTTATAGTCTAGCTTCTATTACCCATCTATTACCCATCACAGCTAGTACTACTACTAGTCTAGCTTCTATTACCCATCTATCACCCATCACAGCTAGTACTAGTATAGCTTCTATTACCCATCTTAGCTATTACTTTAGTAAAGCTTCTTTTACCTATATATTACCCATCACAGCTAGTACTAGTCTAGCCTCTATTACCCATCTATTACCCATCTATTTCCCATCACAGCTAATACTAGCATAGCTTCTATTACCCATCACAGCTACTACTAGTCTAGCTTCTATTACCCATCTATTACCCATCACAGCTAGTTATAGTATAGCTTCTATTACCCTTCTATTACCCATCACAGCTAGTACTAGTCTAGCTTCTATTACCAATCTTTTACCCATCACAGCTAGTTATAGTATAGATTCTATTACCCATCACAGCTAGTTATAGTATATCTTCTATTACCAATCTATTACCCATCACAGCTAGTTACAGTATTGCTTCTATTACCCATCTATTACCCATCACAGCTAGTACTAGTCTAGCTTCTATAACCTATCTATTACCCATCACAGCTAATACTAGTCTAGCTTCTATTACCTATCTATTACCCATCACAGCTAGTACTAGTCTAGCTTCTATTACCCATCACAGCTAGTACTAGTCTAGCTTCTATTACCTATCTATTACCAATCACAGCTAGTACTAGTCTAGCTTCTATTACCAATCGATTACCCATCACAGCTAGTTATAGTATAGATTCTATTACCCATCAAAGCTAGTACTAGTCTAGCTTCTATAACCTATCTATTACCCATCACAGCTAATTCTAGTCTAGCTTCTATTACCTATCTATTACCCATCACAGCTAGTACTAGTCTAGCTTCTATTACCAATCTATTACCCATCACAGCTAGTTATAGTATAGATTCTATTACCCATCACAGCTAGTACTAGTCTAGCTTCTATAACCTATCTATTACCCATCACAGCTTATACTAGTCTAGCTTCTATTACCTATCTATTACCATCACAGCTAGCACTAGTCTAGCTTTAATTACCCATCTTTTACCCGTCTATTACCCATCACAGCTAGTACTAGTCTAGCTTCTATTACCTATCTATTACCCATCACAGCTAGTACTAGTCTAGCTTCTATAACCCATCTATCACCCTTCTATTACCCATCACAGCTAGTTATAATATAGCTTCTATTACCAATCTATTACCCATCACAGCTAGTAATAGTATAGCTTCTATTACCCATCTATTACCCTTCTATTACACATCACAGCTAGTACTAGTCTAGCTTCTAAAACCTATCTATTACCCATCTATTACCCATCACAGCTAGTTATAGTATAGCTTCTATTACCCATCTTTTACCCATCACAGCTAGTACTAGTCTAGATTCTATAACCTATCTATTACCCATCACAGCTTATACTACTCTAGCTTCTATTACCTATCTATTACCCATTACAGCTAGTACTAGTCTAGCTTCTATAACCTATCTATTACCCATCTATTCCCCATCACAGCTAGTACTAGTCTAGCCTCTATTACCCATCTATTGCCCATCTATTTCCCATCACAGCTAGTACTAGCATAGGTTCTATTACCCATCACAGCTAGTACTAGTCTAGCTTCTATTACCCTTCTATTACCCATCACAGCTAGTTATAATATAGCTTCTATTACCAATCTATTACCTATCACAGCTAGTTATAGTATAGCTTCTATTACCCATCTATTACCCATCACAGCTAGTTATAGTATAGCTTCTATTACCAATCTATTACCCATCACAGCTAGTAATAGTATAGCTTCTATTACCCATCTATTACCCATCACAGCTAGTACTAGTCTAGCCTCTATTACCCATCTATTACCCATCTATTACCCATCACAACTAGTACTAGTCTAGCTTCTATTACCCATCACAGCTAGTACTAGTATAGCTTCTATTACCCTTCTATTACCCATCACAGCTAGTTATAGTATAGCTTCTATTACCCATATTAGCTTTTACTTTAGTAAAGCTCCTATTACCTGTCACAACAAGTACTGGTTCATTTTTCTATTACCCATCAAATTAGATAATAGACTAACTGTGATTCAATGTAATAAACAAATGGGTGGCTAACGCAAAGTAACAAATAAACACCTAGTGCAAGTTAACATAAATTAATCATGTCACCCCATTTCATTTCAGTAATAATTACCATAACTTTAGTATGCATATACAATACCTACACCCATCTTTGTAGCCCAAAAACAAAAGATTCAAATATCCCTACCTCCCTACCGTGACGTAACCTCTATCTCGATGACAGAGCCACGGAGTGATCTCCCTTCCTCTTCCTTTTATGGCGCCTGCTGCATGCTGACGCACGGAGCTTGCTCCAATTCAAAACTTTGTTTTGTCGGTTTGGTTTGAGTGTCAACTCATATTTTTGCGCAGTTTGTGTGCCTTATACCCATCTGCCCTTATTGATATAACTAATTGTTGTTGAAAATTATTTTTGTGCCTTTTACGGCCGGTTATTTTACTCCACGTGTGCCGGTGGTGTGCCACGGTCCGCCATTATCGTGGGTTAATTTCCGACCTCTGTTTATTTCGGTGACGGTTGTTTGTTTCGGCAAACGTTATTTATTTTAACCGTTTTCTGATTTATATTACGGGTGAAATTCTTTCTACGTTGCGTACTTTGTACTATCGTATTTTATCCTTATTTTCCCGTTTTATCTGCTTGTAAATTTTTTGTTTACGTTCGCTTTGGAGGGTATGTCTCGGTCGGGACAGCGACGAGGTAGTGCTCATGGGTGTTCCCATTTCTTTGTGGAACGGGACCCTCATGATGCCTGTCCCAGGTGTCGTCCTTGCAGTGAGGTTTCGCCTTGTGAACTTTGTTCACAGTCAAAATCTCAGGGCAAGGACTTCATTGTTCCAAAGCTACCCTCAACTTACCGTAAGACAGATTCGTCTGTTTCTTCCGGTAAGCGAGGGAAGCAGAGAGGTAGGGGTCGTGCCACCAGCTCTCTGGGGTCTGGTGGTACTGTCTCTGTTCCTGTCTCGGGGGGTCTTGCTTCGGCAAGTCCCTCTCGGGAGCAGGGGATGGCCCTTCCTGTCCAGGAACTCCCTGGAGTAGGGGAGGGGCAGCCTGACCCTGGCTTGGCACAGCCAAGGGTCGAATTGGCCGGGAACGCCCGTAAGCTTTCGCGCTTGTCTTCGGGTAGGGACTACCGGCCGCCAGTCACTGACTCTGTCAGTGATCCCGGCATTCCAGGTGGTGCTGTCGTTGGGGACAGTCTTGGTGCCAGGCCTGTTCTTTCGGGTTCAGGTCCTGGTGTGACAAGAGACTTTCTTTCGGGATTGTCTGTGTCTACCGGGATTAGTGACGGGCAGCTCACTAATCCCGGCATCAATGCTGGTCAGGCATACCCTCCCGGTCAGTTACCCG